CACACCCACACCCTCAAGATGGTCATGAAAAATATGTAGATTATTGACGATATTATGAATAAGAATTAGGTTCGGGTCCAAAACTTTTCGACTTGATGGATTCAACTAACACGAGGAATATATGAAAGATGCGCACGGAACCTGAGATGAGGGTTTGAAAATAACACGGACCGATCACAGTCATTATACTCACACCATCATTTATCATTCTCAGAATCGCCATGTGCATCTGTTGCTATCCAAAAACAAATATACCAAGCGTTTCATTTCCACTATAATGTTTATTCTTGATACATACGTTCAAAAGAACCATACTTGAAGTGATTAGAAAATATAGAAAAAACTGTATGTCATTGATGAATGTTGTTGTCAAACAGAAAATGGTTGAACTGTTGTCATGTTTATTTCACTAAAAAGAGAATCAATGATTACAGAATTCTATTAGAAACATACTTGTGTAAAAAGATTTTGATACCACGGAAAAAAAACCTATTTTAAACACAACCGCGAAAACATTTTTGTAAAATAAAACATTTTATTCATCAAATCAAATAGATAACCAAATTTCATTTTCATCAGTGTTTTTGATTATTCTCGTAAAGTTGAAAGTATGTTAATATTCTTTCAAATTAACAGATGGTTTTTATTGAGAAACAAATCAAAATCTCAATATAGAATGTTGAACAAATAAAATTTTTCATAACTATCACGACTGAAAATAACAGATTAGATATAATTAAATATGCACATCATGAACAATTGAGAAAGAGAAAACTAATAATTGTTGAGTTCAATTGTATCTAGTTATTTCAATAAAGTCAGATGTCATATAACTGGTATCAATAAAAATATTCTGCAGTTACTTACATCTATTTACAATAGTTATTCAATAAGGAAATCAGTAAACTTGAATAAAACAATAGCACATCAGAAAATTTTAAAGAAATGCAGTATAATTTAATTTTACATGTATAACTGAAACTTTCGTTTTTTGTGAGTACCGTCATGATTAGCAAAGAAGACATCATCTGGAACATGAGTTAATATTTATTCATAACAAACGACAACTGATGAAAATAACTAAAACAACAAAAATTAAATTAAACTGCATTTCTTTAAAATTTTTTTATATACTATGGTTTTATTGAAGATCGTAAAATCTTGAGTAGGTTTTAAATGGCCAGTTATTAGTTCTCATGGTTATGTTTATATGAATTTATTTACTTGTTGTGCATAGTAACACAATTTTTTGTTGTTTTAATTTCTTTTAATCAGTTATTGTTGGTTAGGAATCAAAATGTGTATCACTCAAATGAATAAAAAACTTAGAAATATATGAAAAAGTAGCATGTCCCGATATCACAAGTGTATTGATATTATCTGTATCATTTTTACATTTAAAACTTTTACTACATTTTTGCAATATTCTGTGTAGAAAATAGCAATGCAATGTTACTATTTGTTCACTGCTGGCAATTTCTTTATCAATTCTGATATGAGCTTACTAATGAGTGTTAATAAAAGGAAAATATTATAACTAGACCGTTTCTCAGTTACCGAAAACGTAATTTTTTACTTATGTACTTGTAATACAAATTTATGTAGGTTAAAAAAAATATAATGATCACGTTAAGCATTGATGATGCCATCTTTCTTTATTCAAACAAATAAATATGAAAAAACAAAACAAATTTTGAATATGATTTCTTGATGAATCGTAGAAATTAATAAAAGAAGAGCAGCTAATATAACACTAGAAAGCAAAATTTCTTTTTATTATACACATAATACGAATGAATAAAAAGTAAAAATTACTGTAGCAAGATTGAGTGATGAACTATTCATTCTACACATGGCAAACACTATCATTTTGGGGTGTTTCTAGATGCAATTTGGATGATAACTGATATAAAACTTTTCCTTGTTTATTGTTATACTAATATGTAAAACCTACATTTAAATGTTCCATTCATTTTAAATTGTTGATAATTACTTCGATGTTTCATAATTTTCAAATTTCAATAACAGTATATTTGGCCAGTAGAAATCGTTATTTAACTATTGTCCCAATTAAAATTGAAATTATATTTCTTCTTGTTTTGTTTACATTAGCAGCGTGTCAATCATATGCATAATGAGAAAAAAAAATCACACTAACACTGTCCTTGCTGTCGTTTTCGTTCTTGTTGTAGAGAACGAAACAAAATCATACAACGTATAAGACAAGGTATCTAATGCAATGAAACTCAAGTCACGCTTCATATGACACGTAAATGAAAGTGGAAAAAAAGAATATCATATACGATCAGTGATGTTGTGGATTTTTTTCCTTTTAATTTGTTTTTGATAAGCATACCTTCAATTACTAATAGGCACATTTTGTTATTGAGTGTCAACGAAAAAACACAATATTCATATTTGACGTCAGAGAAAAATCTAGAAAAAATAACAACGTGCATCAAATGTAAAAATACAAAAGGTAAACTTTGTCCAAACAGCCATCTACTATTTACGATACGCAACTACCTATCGCACACGAAATATCACATCGAAAATGAGTCAACAATCAAGACGACGCCATCCTGAAAACTACATGGTTATTTGGGTTGATGGAAATATGGATATGACCAATAAAGATTGCCAAAATACAATGGAGCAATTGCGTGGTGTCGTCAACCAAGTCAACCTATGTACAACAGCTGAAGAATGTATTCAACAGCTAAATAAAAATCCTGAAGAGATATCATTTGTTATCTCCTCAGGTGCACTTGGACAACATCTTGTACCAAGTATCCATGGCATGGCAAAATTAAATGCCATATACATATGTTGTGACAACAAACAAGAGCATGAAATATGGACAAAAAGTTGGGCAAAAATCAAAGGCGTCCACACAACAATCAAACATATTTGTGAAAAATTGGCCATAGCAATCAAACAATGCAATCAAGATCATATGCCGGTGAGCATTGTTAGTGTGAATGCAGGAGGTTCTAGTAAGAATCTAGATCAACTAGAACCTTCGTTCATGTATTCCCAAATATTCAAGGAAATACTCCTTGAAATAGAACATGATCAGCCGCCAGCCGTACAAGATTTGGTCAAGTATTGCCAACAAGAATATCAAGACAATACGACAGAACTCAAAATTATTGAAGAATTTCAACGAACTTATCAACCGTCCAATGCCCTATGGTGGTATACACGCCAATGCTTCACATACAAAATGTTGAATGGTGCATTAAGAACACTGAACGGCGACATTATGATACGAATGGGATTTTTCCTCTGCGATGTACATCGTCAACTCGAAACCTTGTACAAGAATCAGGTCAGTCAATACCATAACAAGATTTTTACGGTCTTTCGAGGACAAGGCCTATCGAAAGCTGACTTTGAAAAGCTCGCAGAAAACAAAGGTGGACTTATTTCTTTTAACAACTTTTTATCAACCAGTACAGATCGTGATGTTTCTCTCCTTTTCGCCGAAAGTAACCTAGCAACAACCGATACAGTGGGTATTTTTTTTAAAATCACGAGCGATCTCAAGGTCTCATCGGCTCCATTCGCCTCCATTCGAGAGGAAAGTTACTTCAAGGATGAAGAAGAAATTCTCTTCTCCATGCACACCGTCTTTCGCATTGGTGAAGTGCGTAAAATTGACAACAATCGTGCACTTTATCAAGTCGATCTTAAACTTACGTCAGATGATGATCCACAACTTCGTGAATTAACTGACTTTATACGAGAAGAGGTCAGCGGCACTGGATGGCGTCGAATGGGTCGATTGTTACTCAAAATAGGTCAATTCGACAAGGCCGAAGAACTATATACGGCACTACTAGAACAGGCATCGAACGATAGTGAGAGAGCACATATTTATTATCAGCTTGGATGGGTGAAACTAGCCCAAGGGCAATACCAAGAAGCAGCTACATTTTACGAACAATCTCTGAAAATCGAGCAAAAAACTCTTCCGAAAGATGATCCTTCATTAGCTTCTTACTACAGCAACATCGGCCTAGTGTATAATAGCATGGGTGACTATTCGAAATCAATTGAGTTTTACGAAAAAGCGCATAAAATATACGAGAAGGCTCTGCCGCCGAATCATCATGATTTGGCTATCATTAACGGAAAGATCGGTTCGGTGTATAACAATATGGGTGACTACTCGAAAGCACTTGAATTTTACGAAAAATCACTTAAAATTAAAGAAAAAGCTTTGCCTTCGAATCATTCCTCATTGGCTACTTCGTACAGCAACATCGGTCAAGTGTA